TCCAATTTTTTTTTCTCCAGGGAGTTGTTTTGGCCTAGAGCATCTTAAGCAAGTGATGTTCTGTGTAACACATTGTGAGAAATTCTATTCTAGAGTTCTCAGACTATAGGAGAACTGAAAGCAACCGGGAAGTTAAATTACTCGGAGGGCAAGAAGAGGGAGTGGAGGAAGCCTCAAATTACTGAATATCCCTCCAGGATGTGGAGCACTCACCAGGCAGGGTGTGTGCCAGGCAGGTGACAGGGGCCTGCAACATTCTGTGGTGCAAGCCTCGCAACTCAGGTGTTACCATAATTTCCGTTTGCTAATAGGAAAACCTGCTGCTCAAGGAGACCCAGTTGGTAGCCAAAGGTCACACTGTGGCTTACAAAGTCAAGACCTGAACCTAGACCTGTTTGACTCCAAAACTCAAATAATCAAAAACTGTAAAACTTTATTGCCTAAATAATGGGGAAGGGTAGGTTGCAACCCAACTAGCAAACCTTTTCCTACTCCCACCAATGCATCTCCATATACTCTTGAACCCGTGTCCTCCTCGAGGGATACACTTTTGTTTTATCTGCACGGTGTCGAGTGTTCCTTGCTGTGTCTCATGCTGGCCATGTAGGAGGTATATGGTAAGTCTGAGCAGCCAAGGTCATGCTCCCATCACATAAGCTCAGTATATGGGGCCAGATGGTTGTGACCCTGAGTGACCCTGATAGAATCATCCATCAACTTACTTCCCTTTTCCCTGCCTTTTCTCCCTGCCCTTTTCTACCTTGCAGCCATCAGTCTGATCCCTCTCCATATCCACTGGAACTGAGGGGCCCAGATATATACAAACACCTCTGCCAGGGACCCCATGAGGCACCCAGACCTGACAGGGCTTGCAGGGGCCAACAGCTGGTGGCCAGATTGGCTCTGTGAGGGGGTGGGGGATGTGGAAAGGAGCCAGCTCTGGCTGGAGTCTTTCACCCCGTAGCTGGGAGGAGAAAGTGGGGGAGTTTCTGTACTTAGAGGCATGTGTTTCAGGAAAAGATCTGAGACAAATTTCCTCTCCCACCATCCCTATCTTCCCCTCATGAGACAGCTGGGGAAGTTGGTGGTGATTAGTCACTCCTGTTAATTCATTACTAATTTGGATGGGGGAGACTGGTCTTTTCTAAGCCTCATGATCAGAAACTCAAGTGCTCCAAAACTGAACTCATGGTCCTTGATCCCTTGATCTGCTTATACGCTCCTCCTTCTGGACACTGCCCCCATCCCCCCGCCCCTGTTTCCATGCATGCGTGGCTTTGCCCTCTTCCTGGCCCTGAGGCTGGAAACATAGCCCCTTCTCTTCTTTCATGCTGAATCAGTGACAGCCGTGTCAACTCAGCCTTTGCAAGAGCCTCTAATTTGGTGCCTCTCCACAGCCCACTACCCCAGTCAGCCCTCGTCTCTCCCACAGTTGTTATGACAGCCCTCACTCCTCTGCTAGATGCTACTCTTGCCACCAGCCATGTGCCAAGCCTTCAGATGCTTCTGTACAGGAGTTAGCACAGGGGGCTGGGATTTTTAGAAGCCACCTTGAACTAGACACACAACTGAGCCCCATGCTGGGCCCCACGCTGCTCCTGAAGGGCAGGGGAAGTTATTCAGTCAAAGAAGGGGAAGATTGTGAGCAAAGGCACTGACACAGTGCCTCTGGGGAACTCCGAGAGTGTGACCTTGATGTGTTTGAAGGGCAAGGTGGCAGCAGGTGCTACAGCTGTCTAGTGCTGCATACCAGAACGATCCAAAACTTAGTGCTTAAAACAATGGCCACATTTAGGTTGCTGACAAATCTGACAAATCTGCAATCTGTACAGGGCTCTTTGGGGATAGCTCATTTCTGCTTTGCTTGGCATCGAGGGCTGGGGCTGGAATCATCTGAAGGCTGGCACAGTAACATGTCTGGCGGTTGACACTGGCTGAAGACCAAAATCTGAACCGGAGTTATCAGTGAAACATTAACATGTGGCCTCACCATGAGCAAGGAAGACTGGGCTTCCCTACAGTGTAATGTCAGGGTACTCAGGGTCCCAGGGGAGAAAGAGCCAGCCAGATTCTTTGTCCACTTTTAGGACCAGCCTCGGAAGTCACATAGCATCACTTCTCTTCATTAGAAGCAAGGGGCTAAGATTGGCCCATATTCAGAGGGAGAGAACACAGACCCCACCCCTCGAGGAAGTGTCACTGTAAGAGGTGTATGTGGATGGCAGAGATTGGTATGGCCATCTTGGCAAAATACGATCAGTCTCAGCAGAAAATATGGAGGCAGGCTGGGTCCAGGACTGTAGCATCTTGGCTATCACTCCTAGAGTGTTGGTTTTTACCTTACAGAAAGTGGGGCGCCAGTGAGAGAGACTAATTCAGGCGTGACCTGCTAAAGTTTGTGCTGGAGAAAGCTTCCTCTGGGGTGGTGTGGTGGAAGATTTGAGAGGGGTAGGCAGGGGACCTGTGAGAGGCTGTTGCGGTGATCTGAGGAGGGATGGTGAGGGCTTGAGTCAAGGCTTACACCTGGAGAAGAGGCAGGGCTCCAACGTGGGAGACACCAAGAAGAGACCACGGGGCTCAGGGAGGGGGCAAACGCCAGAGGGTGAGGAGGAGGGACATCAAGAAGGAGTACTGGTTTCTGGCTTGGGAAACTGAGTGAAGGTGATGGGGAATGAAGGAAAAAGGGGAGCAGTTTATGGGGGAAGATGATGAGTCCTATTTGGGAAATGATTGGTTTGAGGGACCTACAAGTGTCCAGGCAGATACATCCATACATCCAGCAGACAGTGGGGTGGACCTGCATGTAAAACTCTGGGGAAAGTTCTGGGTGAAGACCTGAGACTGGAGGCCATCATCCTATGGCAAATGGGATTGCCTATGAGCGGGTGCAGAATGGATTGTGTCCAGAGAAGGGGTCTAGAGGCAGGCTTTGGGGGCATTACTCTTTAGGGAGTGGTTAGAGGAGGAGGATCTGGCAAGGCATCTGAAGTCAAATTGTCTCTTTCCTAGGTCTGGCCTGGACCAGGGAACAATCTGGGTTCGAGTGAGCTTTGGTGCCCTGTTTCCATGGAAAATGACAGGATGTTGACAAATCCCATCCCTATCACTGTCACTGTCTTGTGCTTCTTTCCTATAACTTATAACCTATATTGTGGCTCTTGTCTTTCCTTCAACCTTATAGTGGCAATTCCTATGGATTAGGGAATTTCTATGATTGTTTTTCTTTTTTTTTTTCTTTTTTTTTTTTTGTTTTTTTTTTTTTTTTGAGACGGAGTCTCGCTCTGTCACCCTTTTTTTTTTGAGACGGAGTCTCGCTGTGTCGCCCAGGATGGAGTGCAGTGGCACAATCTCAGCTCACTGCAACATCCACCTCCAGGATTCAAGAGATTCTCCTGCCTCAGCCTCCTGAGTAGCTGGGATTACAAGCATGTGCCACCACACCCAGTTAATTTTTGTATTTTTAGTAGTGACGGGGTTTCACCACGTTGGTCAGGCTGGTCTTGAACTCCTGACCTCATAATCTGCCCACTTCGGCCTCCCAAATTGCTGGGATTACAGGCGTGAGCCACCACGCCCGGCCTTGCTTTTCTTTTTCTAATCTTTCACATCTTACCCTTTACACAGATGGTCAGAGCCAGAAAAAGTCCTCTAGCCCACTGCCTGGAAACCATGTTGCCCCCCAGACTCTGCTGGTAGAAGTTTCCCAAATAACACATTTGTGGCTTCACTCCTGGTGATTTTGATTCAGTAGGTCTGAGCTTGGGCCTAGCCTCTGTATTTCAAAGGCACTCCCACCTCCTCATCCGTGTGATTTTGAATCAAAGCTGAGTTATGAACCATTGACTTAGCCCAGTTACCTCATGGTTGGGAAAACCCAGGGCACAGAGGGGGGAAAAGCATACCCAACCCCAAATTGTTCCCTGGTCCAGGTCAGAGCTAGGAAAGAGGCAATTTGACCTCTGATGCCTCTCCAGATCCTCCTCCTCTGACCATTCCCTAAAGACTAATGCCCTCCAAACTCTGTCTCTAGACAGAGACAAGACCCTTTCTGGCTAAGCTTTCTCTGTTGAGTGAGAGGCAGATCCAGACCTGGTCCACACTAAGCATCAGGTGACTAGCACAACAGCTGAGAACCTGGGGGAGCCCAGAGCTCAGCCTGCAGCCAAATGGGGACATCATGAAACCCTTCTCCTACCCTCCCTGATGTGTTATCTGTCCCCATCCACCATGGAACTCACATTTACTCAGTACCCCGGGACCAGGTATGAGGCCAGGCGAGATATGGAGATAAATGGCCTCGGTCCCTTCCTTGGGGCCTTGATCATCCATTGAGCAGGCAGCAAGCACAATCAGTCACAGACATTCCTGATGAGAGGCCAAGATAGTCCTGATAAGAGATGATGACATGGATGGGGACATTCATTCAAACCAGGTGCTTTGGGGATTGCGTTATGGTGCCTTACTGGAGGCATTAGAGGTGGGCCTTGGAGGACAGGTGTCGAGAATGGAAGACAAGTCAAGAGAGATGGATCCACATGACTCAGGCTTGTTCATCTCCCAAGAGCAGTCTGAATTGGGTGGGGAGTGGCCTTCAGCCCTCACAGGGCACAGCAGGAGGGCAAACGTGCAGCCTGGGGAGCACTGTGGTACTGTTGGGGAATAATCCAAGATGCTCAGCTGAGCAGTTAGGCCCTTCCCTTGGGGATGAGTCCCCAACCCTGTCATATCTTCAACACCCTGTGGTTTCACTGGGCCACATATCACAACAGTGATGAGAATGCAGTAATAACAGGAATGGCTAGCACTTTTGGAATGCTTCCTGCAGGGTGCAACACAATGTTGCAATGGTGACATTTCATCCTGGAGACCCTGGGAAGTGAGTGCTCCTAGATAACAGGCGAGGAAACAGAGGTCAGCCTGCTGGGGCCCCTAACAGATAGCTGGGAGGGCACCAAGGCTTGTCGTCCAGAGACCTCATGTGCCCATCACTCTTCCCCCAGGTGTTTGTGCTCTGCCAAGGCCTCCTGCAGCTCTGCCAACTCCTGTACAGTGCCTACTTCAAGAGCAGCCTTACCACCATTGAGAAGCGCTTTGGGCTCTCCAGTTCTTCATCGGGTCTCATTTCCAGCCTGAATGAGGTAAGCAGGAGGTTCTGGTCCATCAGACCCCACTTGTGTACCACTCTGACCGCAGGATCCAGGAGAAGCAGAGGAACAGGGGACTGAGATGTGCACATAGGTGCAATATCTCTTTCTGCCGGGTAACAGCAAATGAAACAGCAAAGATCCAGTGGGTGCAGTAAGAGCAGCCAGATTTCCTGAGGCCTGACTTGTGCCAGGTACTGAGCTGAGAGCCTCCCACGCCCGACCTGGGGGCCTCTTCATGGCAGCCTTGCCAGCAGGTATTCTGTTCAGATAAGGATACTGAGGCTCAGGAGTACAAGTGGCTTGCTCCAGGTGTGCAGGGCTGTCTGCCCTCAAACTGTGCTTCTAACTGAGTTCTGTGCACTCTGCCAGCCTGTGGGCCCCCTGCTCCATATGTAGTCCAGGGAGGATAAGCTCCAGGCATTCAGGTGGGTCAGCAGCCCTGGGCCCAGGCGTCTCCTGTCTTATGAGGGCCACAAGAGCCAGAGCTCTTAATGGCCTTGACTCCCAGAGGAGATCAGAGCTCTATGGCCTCCTCGCATTTCCCGCCATCCCTCAGTGACTGCATATTAAAGTTAGAGGAAGACAGGGTGGGCTGAGAAGCCAGAGGAGGTAAGAGGTCAGAGGGCAGGGCCTGCCAGGAGCCACTGGAAGCTGGGGAGAGAGAGTGAGTGGAGGCAGCAGAACCCCTTCATCCTGTCTCCACAGCCTAGAGACAGGGCTCCTGGGCTGTCTTCCATCTTCTCCCCAGGGCCACTCTTCCTGGATGGAGGCAGGCAATGGTCCCTTCCCCAGAGCCGGTTGCTCCTCTGGAGCGTCATGAGGTCTTCCCTTGACTTAGTGAAATTCAAGTCGTTGCCGTCACTTAGAGCCTGCGCCTCTGTCCCGTGGCAGCTTCTGGCCGAAACAGAACTGTAAAAGAAGGCAGATATCTCCTCTCCCCAGCCTTCTCCTGCTGGAACAAGGCTTTCTCTTTCACCCCTCCCCGTTCCTTGATGGTTCACATAGCAGTGACCCCAGGACCACTTTCCTGTGCCAGTCCCTTCTACAGTCCTAGCAGGGAGGTGCTCTTCACAGTCACGTTTCTCAGACAAGGAACCCTGCATCAGAAAGCCTGAGTACTCCACCCAGGTCAGCCCCGTCATGTGCGTGGTGCAGCCAGGGTCTGAGCCCAGGGCTGTCTGAGGGCTGCATGCTAAGGCCTCCTCTGTGAATCCCTGTCTTCTCTACCGCACCTCCAGTCTCTTGCTCACAAGCACTGCTCCAGCCAGTCTCAACCTCCACACACGTTGCTGGAATCTTCACTGGTGTCCCTCACTTCATGGCCCCCCTGACCATGGGCTCTTTCCTCACACATATGACATGCATGCACATATACACGCACAGTCCTGCAGCCTGTCTAAGTCATCCCTGCTGGCCTGAGACCTCCTCCTCTGAGCTTCCAGGCCCATATGTGTGCCTTCCCTGCTTTCTGTGCCAGGTGTGTGTCTGTGTACCAGTCTGCGTGTGGGCCTGTGTCTCTGTGTGTCTGCTTGTATTGCTATCCTGAGCTTCCTAGTGATGCCTGGTGACTAGGTCTGCCTGACTGTGTGGTTGCCTCCTCCTCCAGGACAGCACCCTGGTGTCCCTGCCCTGCGTTCACACAGAATGACCCTCATCGATGTTGATCTGTGACTTTGGCAATGCCCCTGGCACATGTTGTCCTCACTCATGATGGACATCAGGAAAAACAAATGTCCGACATTTGCGTCACTACGGTGCTGTTCCGTGGCCCTGGCAGGCATCACTAATTACCCATGTCCCTTTCCTGCTGAGTTCATGCACAGCCTCAGAATCCTTCTCAACACAGTATTCTGAGCCCTGCTACTAATCAGAGTCAGAGCTGGCATATGAGGCGAATATTCTCTTTCACCTCAGCCCAGGTGGTAGCCATATCTGTGATCTCCCATGGTTAAATTTTCGTTAAATGTTGACCCTATGCTTGGAACAAAAATGTGGGCCCAGAAACAATTGGATTCCTCAATGGGCTGGGAGTAGCTAGTTAGGACTTGTAGCAGGATCTGCTTAAGACAGGAGGTTGATTAGGCAATGAAAGAGCTTACTATTTTCCCAGGGATGGAGTTCAATCAAAAAATAAAAATAATTCACCCAGTAACACCTTTCCGAGTCTCAGATGAACTTTTCAAGAATCTGACTTCAGCTCATGCCTGTGGGCGTGATTTGAAGCAAATATCATCAGATAGTTCATTCCCCTGACCTTATAACCCTCTGTGTGTGTGTGTATCTGTGTCTGTGTATGTTTGAGTATTTATGTGCAACTCCGTATGTGTCTGCCTGTGTATAGTATATGTGTGAAGCCTAGGGGGATGTGAGAAGAGAGCCCGGCCTGGTGCAAGGGGAGGGTGAGGCTATCTGGGTCATGGAGTGTGCAGCGAACCTCCAGGAAGCGTGAACCTGCAGTCTGCAGCTCCCAGTCTCAGAGAGCCTTCTGTGGGCCCAGGAGTTGATGTGAAGCCTTTGACGGGCTGGGCGTAGAAGGCCAGCAGCAGGAGGAGGAACTTAGTTAACAAGAGAAGACATGGAGCAACTTGGCTTGAAGCAGCAGCTTCTCTTGCCCACTATGAAAGGCCAGTGCTGAGCCCTAGAGGCTCCCTACCCTTCATGCCACCCACCAGTGGCCCCTACTCCCCTTTGGTTTGAGACGTTGAAGGGCAGGGGCATGTCACAGTGGGCATTGTAATAGCTTTCAAAGAGTCTCACAGCAAGTCCATGGTAGTATTTCAGGGGTTGCTCCAGGGCTGAGGAGACTGAGGTCTTGAGGCCCTCTTCTCAGCCAGAACAGCTGCATTTGGGGGGTTTGTTTTATATTAGGGAAAAACAGTTTTTTCAAAGGGACTCTGTGGCTGAAGAAAAGTTTGAGAACAAGGTCTTAAGCCGGCATTAGCCATAACACCTGTGGAGGTTCAGCTTCCCACAGAGAAACAAGTGCAGGCCCCTAGAGAGTGTGGAAGAGCTTCTCCTCTGTCCCTCCTCCCTGAGAGCCCCTTTGGGGTCCTCCACCCACCCTCACCCAAGCCTTCCAAAGTCAGCCACAGTCAGCATAGCTGATATGATCTGGCATTTACAATCATTTTATGAAAAGCAATAGGGAAATAAGAAGGAAATAAAAAAAATCTACGAAGCAGAAGAATCAAACTCTCTTTCCAGGTGTGGGCTTCAGGATGTCCTAGATCCACCTTTGGCAGGGGCTGCCCCTCACACACCTTCACACCCCCTTTCTCTGTAGATCATAAACCATCTCACTCTTGGCCATGCCGGACGGGTCTCCCGGGCAACTATGTCCTCCTCCCGAAAATGTCTACCATTTACTCATTCATTCATTTCTTCAACAATATTTAACGAGCACCAAGTATATATTAGGCACTGTTAGGTGCTGGGGAAACAGGAATGAACAGACAAAAATCTCTGCTCATATATCATTCTAAGGATAAATATAATATTTATGGAAATAAAACATACTGTCGATCAGGTTATGATGAGTGCAATGAAGACAGAGAAAGTCACGGATGGGAAAAGGTACACGGTGCCACAGTGGTGGGGATGTGGGTGTATTTTAAATGAAGAGGTCAGAGAAAGGCCTTCATGAGATGATTCAATCTGAGCAGAGGCCTGAATCTGGTTGATAAGAACTGAGTCCTAAGGACCTAAAGTCAGAAGGAGCAGCAATAACCAAAGGGGGCTGGGGGAATGCCTTTGTTCTTTGGTGTGGCCAAAGAACAGCTGGGGGCAGTGTGGCTGGATGGAGGGAGGGAGAGGAGCAGAAGAGCGCAGACCTGAGAGGTGACTGGGGACAGGCTGTGTAGGGCTCAGGAGGCTCTGGGACAGCCTTTGCCTTTTAACACTGGAGGGTTTGAGCTGAGGGAACATGGTCTGATACTTCAGCAGGACCCCTCTGGCTGCTGGGTGGAGAATGAACAGTAGCAGGACATGGATGGAGGCAGGGTCCCATTAGGAGGCTGCCACAGTAATTCAGACAGGATTGGAGGTTGAGGAGTCACTGGTTTCCAGGTGGCTATGGAAGGTCCTGCCAAGGGGATTTGCTGATGGATTACATATGAGTGTGAGAGAAGTCAAGATGATGTTCGAGTGTTTTGTGTGAGCCACTGGGAGGATGGAGGTGCCATTTACTGAGACAAGGAGGACGAGGACAGGGGACTGGAGTTTTAGAGGGAGGAAGAGGAGTGAGAGTTTAGATGAACTGAGACTATGGGACTTAGAAGCACACACAGAGCATAAATAGACATGGAACTGGACACTTAGGGGCAGAGCTCTGGGCCCAATGTTGAGAGTCCAGGCAGATAAAGAGGAATAAGCCAAGAAGACCAAGAAGGAGCAGACAGGAGAAGGGAAGCAGGAGAAGATGGTGTCATGGGAACTCTGAAGGAAGTGTTTCAGGAAAAAAGAAATGGTCAACTGAGTCAAATGGAACTGAGCATTGACCAGTACATTTGCCAATGAGGCCAGTGGCGACCTTAGTGACAGCCGTGTTCTGAGGCTCTAGCCTCTGTTTCCTGACACAGCAGCACCTGTTTCTCCAGCCAGGAGGAAACTGGGGTGTAACAAGACAGGGCTATGGCTGCAGATTTACAGAGCTCCTCCAGTCCAGGTGAACTGTGCTCTGAGGAGAGGGCCATCTTTGGTGGAGACGTGGTCAGAAGGCCTGGCAACATCCCCTTACCATTGAAGACCTTACTCCCCATGCTGGAGCCTTCAGTTCCCTTTCCTGGTTCTGGTGGGGCTCAGAGAGCACATCTTCCAGGGAGCACCAGAAGCATGGAGTTACCCATATTTCCAGCTGGAAGGGCCTTGGGGTCCTCTAGTTCTTATCCTTCATTTCACAGAATTGAAAACAAACCAAGGCAGGGGAAGGGGCAGGATAGTAGCAGAGCTGCTTGGGCAGAAACCCTGTTCTCCAAGAGGTGACAGACAACTCTAGTTAAGCCTTGGTGTTTTAGAGTCAGGCAAGACTGGTTCAAGCCACTCCCTAACCTCATGGTCATGGGCATGTTACTTAATATTCGGAGCCCCAGTTTTGTCAGGTAAAATGAGAATTGTTTCATGATTAAATGAGATAAGCATGTTGCTCGCTTGTTATTCTGGCCACCAAGCCAGGGTCCTTGGGTCCTTTCATCTGTATCTAATTAAACCTGGGATTTTGCACTAAACTTTAGGTACAAACTCTCAAGTTTAATTAGGGGACATGTTTTATTCCTAGGAGCCAGGCAGGATTGGAGGTTTCTTTGGCTTTTTCCCAAAAAGGTTTGATTCTAAGATGGTTAAAGTTTAGGTTTTGAGCTTTTCATAATCTTCAGATACTTCTTTTGGTCTGGTCTAGAAGATGGAGACCCAGAAGGGTTTCTGACAACAGAGGGAAAACCAAAATTGCTTATGCTTGCCCCCTTGTGAAGCTCTCTGGGAAAAGCTGACATTGTAACTCTGCCTGGGCCCCAGCTGACACTGGGCAGCCCCCTCCCTCTCCAGTTTTCCTGGATAAGATATGGTCAGGTCTTCTCTGTGGGTGGGTGAGGACAGGGCCTCTTGTCTCACTCAGCCTTTCTGCTCTCTTCTCAGATCAGCAATGCCATCCTCATCATCTTTGTCAGCTACTTTGGCAGCCGGGTGCACCGTCCACGTCTGATTGGCATCGGGGGTCTCTTCCTGGCTGCAGGTGCCTTCATCCTCACCCTCCCACACTTCCTCTCCGAGCCCTACCAGTACACCTTGGCCAGCACTGGTGAGTGGCCTCCAACCCCTGCCTCAAGGGAGGAAGGGATGGGTGAACATCTCACAAAATTAGTGGGGATACTCCTAGGGCAGTGGATACCACTCCAGGAAGAGGACATATGAAGCTCAGAATATACTGAAGTATGTAGAGCTATGGAGCAGCTGAACTCTGGTTTGTGTAGGAAAGTGTGCAGTGCATGGCTCACCTCCTGCTGTGATTCCCTGTGCTTTATGCCGGGAGTGACCCAAGCTCTACCTCCCTGGGGACACTGTGAGCAGTTTCTGCAATGGGGCTTGGCAGGAGGAGGGTCAAAGCATTAATCATTATGAAGTCTGTGGATTTTGTCTACTTTTAATTGTAGCACTTTGTGACATTTGTACATTCTTCTGTCCTTAGGTGACAGTGCACTTGTACAATGATCTCATTTGATCATATTTACTATGTTGAGTTTGCCAATCCATGAACATAGGGTGCCCACTATTACCCTTATATTTAACATTGACGTATGATATAAAAACCACTAAAGTTCATGAATGTCTCTATTCTCCAAGAGCACAAAATAAGGATCCTAGATGCTTTTTTGCCCACCATCCTCTCTCATTTTCCACTTATCATTGACCCATATTTTTGTTCTACCTGTCTTTAACCTCCCCACAGTGGTCATTATTATAAATTGTTACTATTCTGTTATTTATAAATAAGTGAGTGGTTATTTATGTACTTACAAGTTTACTGGTTTCTTTGTTCACCATTGATTGCTTCTTGCATTTCACCCATGCTGTTGATTATTTTTTTTTCTTGAAGGATATCCTTTAGTGTTACTTTCAGTAGGCCTATGAGTAAGAAAATCTCTAAGTCTTTGTCTAAAAATACCTCTATTTTACCCTTGCTCTTGAATTACAGTTTAGCTACAAACAAGATTTTAAATCAATAGTTATTTCTTCTCAACACTTTGAAGGTACCATGGCTCTTTCTTCTGGTGTTGGGACTTTTCCATTAGTCTAATTGTCATAACTTCTTAGGTATCCTGTTTTTTCTCTAGTTCTATTTAATGTTTGTTCTTTTCTTTTCTTTGTTGTTCTGTATGTCTACCATAAGGTATCTGAGTATGGCTTAATTTTCACTTATCTGTTAGAAAGTTTGATATGCTATTTCTTTTGAAAATTAGAGTTTTTCTTTAATTTTGAAAAATTTTCAGCCAAAAACATTCCTGATATTGCACACCCCTATTTTCTTCATCCTTTTTTCTAGAACTCCTTTTACATATGGCTTCACATTTTCATTTCTGGCCTCCTTGTCTCTTAACCTGTCTTTCATAGTTTTCAGGGCTTTATGCTGCATCCTGGGTGATTTCCTTAAAGTACAACTTTCTGTTTACTTAGTCTCTCTCCAGCTTTGTTCATTGGTGTCAGACCCATTTTTGACATTATAAATTTTAATGGCACTACATATTTTGCTAATTCCTAAAGGTCTTGTAATAGATGTTCAAATCTCTCTGCCCTATTGACACAGTCTATTGGTGTTTCCTTATGATTTCTTTTGTATTGTTATTGATATCTTCAATTATTTTAAATATATTTATATTATACTCTTTTTCAGATCATTCTGTTAGCTCAAGTTTTAAGAATGTTAATTCTCCCATTGTTTTATGTCTGCTTGCTCTTGTTCATGGTGGATTACCTCCTTATGTTTGACCATGAGCCATTTGCAGGGGCTTTTTTTCCCTGTAGAAATTGTATGTGGACTAGGGTTAGGAAATAGCCCTACAGAGTGGTTTGGCATTTACATTTACTCAGCACCCAGGACAATCACTGCTTTGTAACTAATTTTATGTTAATGTGTTGACTTAGGATGAATTTGCACTTGTTTTAAGGACTGTGGAAAGTGGCTGTGGTTTTGTGATGCACATTGGTGAGAGGACTAGTTCATATATGCTCACCCTTAGTCCACTGTATTGGAGTTGAAGTTAAATGAGCCACTCAGGGAGGTGCTGAGGGAATAATTGATTCTGGTTTGCTTAGAAAACAGGCTATTTTTTTCAATCAGATATGTAGACCAGGTTCAAGAGATGAACCACTTAGAATAATAGAGGGCATCCCTTAAGATTGTGAGGCCAATGATGGAGAGAACGAAGTGCCTGGGACAGGAAAAGAATAGGGCAAGAACGGGGGTGTCTAATGATGAAATGTCTCCTGGGTTCTGGTCATGGAACTCTTTCCCCCACCTCTTTATAAATCGCCAGTGAACTGGTCATTTCTCATAAATGTATGGACTCCGTGGGGCTGAATCCTGCTTCAAGTGGGCAGAGGATGAGGACAGATCTGAGCCCCAGAGTCCTGCCATACACTTTCTCCCCCTTGGTCTAATGAGAGCTTGAGACCAGCTCTGAAGCGAGTCAGGAGTTGCTGGCCATCTTCTTGGAGAGCAATGTGGCCAGGCTGGCTGCACTGTCTTCTTTCCAGAGCCACAATCCCTGCCCTTCCTCATCACGTGAAGACTGGGATAATGAAATCAGCAAGGGAGCCTGGGGCACTGGGGCCAGGCTGAGGGGAGGGCCTCCTGCCAGGCGCCACACATCGTGGCCTGCTCAGCCTGGCAAGTCGGCTCCCGCAGCCTGGGCCCACATCCCAGTGGCATTTGCCTCACACTGAGCAGCCACGGGAGACTGGTTAGGATGGCTTCATTCTGCTCCTTGTTAGGAATAATCAGTGAGTTTGGGTTCAACCCACCATGACCCTCTCAGCTCAGAAGGAAACACTGTGCCGTTCCAGCCTTGACCTCAGTGCTCTAAGCCAAAATCTTCTGATAGAGGACAGAAGTGCTCTGAAAAGACTACAGCTTGCCTCTCAGAGCTTCAGGGGGGCACCATAGGCCAGAAGAGTGGGCTATTTTGTACTTTTTGTTCATTGCTGCAAATTCTAATTGCAACAATAGGGCACAGCAGTCTCCCTCAGTCTGGCTGGGATAGAAGCAGATGCTGGAAGTACTCAGAGCTGAGCTACCTTCAGGCATCTTCTTGGTGCCAGGGGGTGGGATGAGGAGGACTTTGGCCCAGGAACCTCATCCATGCGATCTAGCTGGGACTGCACACTGGGTACCAGCGCACCACGTGAGTGTGCTATGCTAATGTGTGCAAATAAAAATATTTATAAAGTCTTACTTCATGGGAATAGCTTAAAATGTGACTCCTACTTCAAATGTATTCTTATGGGAATTTTAGTTTTGAATCATGCAAGGTCATCAGGAACGAATGCATTTCATTAAATGGACCACTTTGAGTGGGGGTGTGAATCTGAATGGTCTACTGGAACCAGGCAGTCCTCAGTCTGAATCTGGGCTTTGGGACTCCCAAGTGGGCTCAAGCCACTTCCTCCCTGCTCTGAGTTTCAGTTCATCCCTGAGTGTCTATTTTATAGCCCTCGTAGGGCTGCAGGGGCTGAGAAGATGCATGTTCACAATTTAGCCCGTTGGCTGTCACATGCAGTAATCACTGAGTGGTGGCTCTTGTCCCTACGGTGGTAGGGACAATACATATGTGATGTTGTATAAACTAGTAGACTCTCTGGATCCCAAAGGAGAAAGCACCTTACTTCCTGTGAAGAGTGTGATCCTTATGGGCTGGGTGGCCTGGGGGCATCTGAAGGCAGCTCCTTTCTGGTCTACATCATAGGTCCTTTGCTCTGTTCCGGAGCAGGGCGCCTCCCTTGGCACAGTCCCTGCTGCATCCTCACATGTGAGTCCTTAGGATTTCTGTTGGTGGAAGCTTACGTTGCTGTTGTGCTCTCTTCCGAGATCCTCGTGTTGGTGCCGCCTGGTGTGATGGGTGGACATGCCCCCCACCCCACCTCCATATGGACTTCAACATTTGAATCCTAGCTCAGTCACTTACCTGCCAAGTCTTCTTAGGCAAGCTCCCTCACCTTTCTGAACTTTAGTTTCCTTACCTATAAAATGGGAGCAAGAATACCTTGACTTTCAGTGTGTTCTGAGAGTAAAATTAAAATGAAATAAGCCAGGTATGCTGTAATCCCATCACTTCTAGAGGCTGAGTCAGGAAGATTGCTTGAGACCAAGAGTTCGAGACCGGACTGGGCAACACAGTGAGACCCCATCTCTACCAAAAGAAAAAGAAAACGTTAGCCAGGCATGATGGCACATGCCTGTAGTCCCAGCTACTTGGGAGGCTGGAGTGGGAGGATCACTTGAGCCCAGAAGTTTGAGGCTGTAATGAGTTATGATCATGCTACTCCACTCCAGCCTGGACAGCAATCAAGGCTCTGTCACCAGGCTGGAGTGAAGTGGTATGATCTCGGCTCACTGCAATCTCTGCCTCCAGGCTCAAGCGATTCCCCTGCCTCAGCCTCCCGAGTAGCTGGGACTGCAGGTGCACACCACCAGGTCCAGCTAATTTTTTATATTTTAGTAGAGACAGGATTTCACTATGTTGGCCAGGTTGATCTCCAACTCCTGACCTTGTGATCCACCCGCCTCGGCCTCCCAAAGTGCTGGGATTATAGGCATGAGCCACTGTGCCCGGCCTGCTCAGCATATTTCTAATTGCCTGCCCTCGTTGTGGCATTTGAAATCTGTTACTCAGACCTATTACTTGTGTTGATTACTGATTCCTTCCTCTTGGAGTAAAGCTGCTCCAGAAATGAACATGGGAAATGAAGAGTAGCAATGTGTTTTAGGAAAAAAAAGTTAAAGAAAGGCTAAACATTTTGGGAATCACAGAGACCTTTAACGACTAATTGCTAATTCTTTTAAAGGCCATGAAGACATTTTTGGATATTTAGATTTTCTAAATGTCAGTGGGGTCCGGAAATGTGCCCTGGCGCCTTCAGAGAAAAGACGAGCTATCCAGCCAAAGCCTCTAAGACCATGTCTGGAAGGCTAGAGACGTTTTCCTCTATGGGAAACAGGCCAGCGTGAGACCAGTCCTCCCAGGAGATAAGAGAAGGGGCTTCGGAAACCAGTGTCTGGTAGGACTAGGTGTAACCTGTGAACGA